CCCCCTTCAATAAAACCGTTACGTAGTATCGTCCCCTTCACTTCAAAATTCCGATGCCAAGGCTAATGCCAAATTCGTACTACATTGAATAGACTAGTGACTAGTATAATGTTATTTGTTTAATTATTGTACGATATAACGAATAAAATATCTAATTATTCTTAATATAATGTTTTACTATATCGCCCAGAAAATTGCTTTTCGCCTCCCAAATATAAATTGTCACTAATCGCCCCTCAACATAGAAAATCGCCCACATGGAGGCGATATCGCCCTCCGTTGAGAAACACTGGTTTAATTCAACTGTAAGCTGCCACGATACGCCCCATAGAAACAGCTCAGGGCAAATAACATGTATTATTGTTTTTACAGTTTTGTAAGGATTGAAGTTAATCCGGCCTAACCTGTGTGGAAAGGCTCGTGTGAACTGATATTGATACCTTTTCCTTCTGTACAGAAGAAAAAGGTGTGGTATATTCGTTTAATTGTAATTGTGAACAAAAGAAAACATATATACGGTAGAAGAAACAAAAAGAAAATTGAAAATGCGTTTAAAAGAACACATTCGAGCGATTAAAAATAATTATGCAAATTCAGCAGTAGCAGAAGATTGATACTGTAATACGACTGGGTGTGAAATAGATTTGAGTACTGTAAAAATAAAGAAAAAAGAAAAAAAGAATTTTAAAAGGCAATTATATGAACATATTTATATAGCAATACAAAAGAACAGAATGAACAACAATATAGGAAGAGAAATCCATCAATCATAGAACAGAATTATCGACAAAGGGAATGAAGGTTGGAGGTATATAAGAGAAAGAATCTTGTAATAAGTTAATTGTTCAAATGATAGTAGGAGTGCGATATGTAAGTTTAAAAATGTTTAAACCATCTTTTAATAAAGTAACTTATATTTATTGTTATTATATATAGATATATTGGAAATATGACAGGATTTATCCTGTTTATAATTTTGATTTTTAAGGTACCAAAAACTGTAAGCTATTTAATGTTATTATTGGTATTATCAGTTTTATTGTCAGAATTTTATTAATTTGTAGTAAGTTTAATGATTTGTTTTAGAAAATTTGGCTGTAAACCTGCTGATGAGGGACCAACTGGCCCAAAACACAATAATATTGTGTAAAATGTGTGTGGGTGAAAAAGGACTGTTTTTTCTGATTAGTTCGATTTAATATTATTAATGGCGATTATCTTATCCATATGTTTTTGAAAGGTACCAATGATTTTCTCTGAAGATAAGGTAAGATTGAAAGATGATGACCATCCAAGTTATTGTTTTCTGTGACATTCAAGGTGCTGTGATGATAGAGTGGGTTCCAGTTGTTAGTCTATCAATTAACATTCTTATATTGACTAAATTGAGTGACTAAATGAGAATGAAATGACCAGGAATGTGGAGAAATGTTATCATGCAACAGAATAATGTAGTGTCTCATTTAAAATATATATGTTCTTGATCATCCTTTTGTTTGTTTTAAGATTTTACTTTCTGGAACTTTTTCTGTTCCCAAAAGCTCAAAACAATCCATTTTGTATCATTAGAAGAGGTGAAAGCAAAAAACGACAAAGTTTCTGAATAGTTTAGAGAGAATTAGCAGCACCATTCTTTTGAACAGGAAGCAATTTATATAGCTGTGCCAACTCAAAATGAGACTGATTTGACAGTGGTCACAAAGGCTTTTCTGAATCATATAAATAAAGAGTTACAACATCATTTTAATTATTTTTGTGTTGGACTTCATAAAATTAATAATGGAATATAACCATTGATTATACTGCTAAAACTTAATGTTTTGCATATAAATTCAGACTGCCATTAAAAAATTTTAAATTATGCATGTTAAACACAAGCACATTAATAATAATAATTGATTTTTATATCTAAAAATAGTTTATATTTAATAAATATAATATATTAAATATAAAATGTATTATATATTCAAAATATATTGTAATAAACTTCTAATAATCACAGACTTGGAGTTATTTACAGTATAAATGTAAAATTATTTATTAGATATATTAAATAATTAAGATTTAAATTAATTTTTTTCATTTTTAGATAATGTAGAAGATGAATCAGTCCAATCCTTAGCAGAAAAGATATTAATTCCATCAACTTTAGGAAAGTTACAACATAAGTATGCATTATTCTTTGTTAATTTTTCAATTATAATTTGTTAAGAAAANAAAGCAAAAAAATGACAAAGTTTCTGAATAGTTTAGAGAGAATTAGCAGCACCATTCTTTTGAACAGGAAGCAATTTATATAGCTGTGCCAACTCAAAATGAGACTGCTTTGACAGTGGTCAAAGCAGTCTCAGTCAAAGTGGCTTTTCTGAATCGTATAAATAAAAAGAGTTACAACATCATTTTAATTATTTTTGTGTTGGACTTCATAAAATTAATAATGGAATATAATCATTGATTAGACTGCTAAAACTTAATGTTTTGCATATAAATTCAGACTGCCATTAAAAAATTTTAAATTATGCATGTTAAACACAAGCACATTAATAATAATAATTGATTTTTATATCTAAAAATAGTTTATATTTAATAAATATAATATATTAAATATAAAATGTATTATATATTCAAAATATATTGTAATAAACTTCTAATAATCACAGACTTGGAGTTATTTACAGTATAAATTTAAAATTATTTATTAGATATATTAAATAATTAAGATTTAAATTAAATTTTCTATTTTTAGATAATGTAGAAGATGAATCAGTCCAATCCTTAGCAGAAAAGATATTAATTCCATCAACTTTAGGAAAGTTACAACATAAGTATGCATTATTCTTTGTTAATTTTTCAATTATAATTTGTTAAGAAAAATAATTTATTTTTTTTAATTTAAAATATTAAATAGTAATTAAATATAAAATTGATTATAGAATGGATATTCAAATAATTATATTCTTTGTAAATTTTCATATTTTATTAGAAAATTATATAATTATGATACAACTTTATTCAAGAGAAAACTCTCTATTACTGTTATATAATTAGAATAAATTAATAATTTAGTTTTTATCAAATTTTCATTATATTTTGCAGTATTTATCATCATTATTTTTGATACAGTGTGACTCCAATTTCTGGAATCAATAAGTTCTAAGAATTATTTTTGTTTTTTACAAAAATGAAAAGTTTTAGATGTTGCATCTTGGCAACAGTCTAGGTACTAGGGTGTTTTGTACAAGATGTCATCTTGGTGGCTTGCATGCAGTGGTAGAAAGGAGGGAGGAAGGGAGACTGTCTGTGTTTGCCAATGATGCAATCCAAAATATCAGATCTGCAGAAACAATGAGTGGCAATCAAATTTTGCCTGGAGTTAGGGAAAACAAAATGGCCATAAAAGTCCACAAAAATGGCTGTTCAAGTCATGGTTTCTTCATTACCACAAAGCACTCAGTCACAAGGCACTGTCTATGAACCAGTATTTGGCCAAAGAGAACAAACCATTAGTTGAACATCTGTATTTGTCAGATTTGGCTCCTTCTGATGATTTTTTTCTTGAAACTGAAAACTTTATTGAATGGTTTTTGAAAATTTTTTCAAAGACATTTTCAAAAACCGTTCAATACAGTTTTGTAAACCATGGAAACCAAAAGATAAAATGTGACAAGGACTCTAAAGGCTATTTCAAAATCCAAGTTCAGGAACTGTTTCCAGTAGCTCTAGAAACACTGGAAAAAGTGCATCTCAAGGAGATTACTTTGAAAGAGACCAATCTTAAGTGGTGATAAGCAGGGCTGTGGAATCGGAGTTGGGAAAAATGTGTCGACTCTGACTCCGGCATTTTAAATTTAATTTAGTTTTTTTATTTAAACAAAGGAAAATTTATTTTAAATACAAAATGCAACAATTTAATTTATTAAATATGTATCAATAGTTTTCTTTGTAGTATTTGTGTTTAGTAGTTAAATTATTTTGACCCAATTGAATTTGAATATTTTTGATTTATTCCTTTATTATCCTTGCTTTAAATAAGTATTCTATTTTTCTGAATGAGCCAGACTAATTGATCAGAGTATATATTTTTATTTTCTGAAAAAGGGGCTGAAGTAGCTGGATCACACACTTTTTAGTTGGACAAATTTTCTGGAAAGGTGAAATTGAAGTGCAAAAGCTGTAGAATAAAAATATGTAGATGTAGAATTTTATCACTTCTCCTTTTTCCTCTTAATTAATTTTTAACAAATATTTAATATTTTATACAAATAAATATTAATGTTTAATGTAAGTTAAATATTAAAAATACTAACTATAAAAATATTTGGGTAAATGCCAGGGGCTCCTTTTAGAGTTCAGAGTATGGTAACCCCCTATAAGTGCCTCTGCCCCCTCATAAAATGACTAGGTATTTAATTTTGCCAGAGTCAAGAATCGGAGTCAGCCTACTAAAATTATCAGGAGTCAGAGTGGGAGTTGGAGTCGAATGTTTTTTACTGACTCTGCAGCCCTGGTGATAAGTGCCTTCATTTACTGTATTTTTAAAAAATAATTCTCAGAACTTATTGATCATACCTCATATATCCATGAAGTAAATGAACACATAACATGTTCAGATGAACAGAAATCATTTTATACTCTACTAGAGTATATTATCAAGTTCTAGAGCAGCATTTCTCAAAGTGGGCAATAATGCCCCCTTGTGGGTGATGAGTAGATCTAGGGGGCATTGGAGGCAGAGTATTGAACGGTGACCAAAGGCAAAATTGGAGTCACTGAAAGGAAACATTGCGTTTAATGATTTCCAGATGTTGAGAACAATGTACGGTAAGGGCATAAAGTGTGAGATTCATAGAAAAGTTTTCCTAAGAATATTTCCAATCCTTTCTCACACAAGAGAAAATGGATTAGGGGATGTTGGGTATAACTTTATGGAACAAAGGAGGCAGTGGATCAAAAAAGTTTGGGAATCACTGTTCTAGAGAAACAAAAGTGCTAATAATCATCATAAGGAGTATATTGTATAATAATTTGTTAATGTTTCCAATTATTCTTAGGCTATCTAATAAAAATGATACACACAAATGTCATACAAAAAGCTCTGTTTTTAATAACTATAGAATGTTTTTAGAATGAATTTTCACTCTTATCTTCAAAGATATTTGCTGAAAATAAGATTAATAATGTCTAAAAAATATTTCTAAAGTTACGTAAAAATGTAGCTTTTTAATTAATGACGTGATGGGAAGTATTTCAATAATTTGTTAAATCTTTTTTTAGTGTAAATCTGTTTCATAAAATCACAGAACTGGAAAAGAAAATATCTTCATTAAGTCAAGAGTTAAGTGAAGAGAAAAAAATTAAAGAAAATTTACAAAAAGATGTAAGTATATCTCTGAAATTTAATTATTTATATATATAGTTGGTGATTGGTTAATGAACAGCTCGGACTGTGAACAAATCGGATAACGAACACTTTCATGAAAGATTTTTATGTTCAGACATTTAGACAATGAACACATCACAGAACAAACACAAAAAGAAGGGACATGAAATAATGAATACCGATTGGTTTTCCCTTGTCTCCAGGTGACAATTCAAAACCTTTCAGAGCATAGGAGACGTCGACATTGATGCGCAACCCAATACCAATCAGATAGTATTCTTCCAAACTTTAAAACACTCCCTTGTAATTCCAGCTTTTTGTTTATCTTTCTGACAAATGGTTGCAGTTTATAGTCTTTGCAAGACTGTCAGGCAGTTGTTAAGTTTTGCATTGGTTTTTATTTTCAAATGGTGAGAATTTAACTGTCCTATCTGATATTTGTTAACATTTTAACAGCAAAATTTCAAATTTCATTTGGGCCTCACATTTACATAATTCTTTCATGTGCTAGTTGATTTCTGTTCTCTGAACTTTTGTGAGTGCTTTTCTGAATTTTTTATTTTAAAAACAAACTGATAATATTATGGAGCCTAAAAAGAGTGGAGTGTCAAGAACTGTGCTCACCATAGAAACCAAGCAAGAGACAATAGCCAAGGTAGAGAGTGGGCAGAAAATATCTGATGTTGCTAAGCAGTATGGCTTGAACAGGTGTACAATAGTCACAATCTTAGCAAAGAAAGATATAATCAAGAAGACTTAAGGAGCTAAAGGAGTAACAAAAATCACATCTGAGAAACAAAGATGTGCCATCAATGAAAAAATTAAGAGATTGCTTTTAATTTGGATAAAAGAAAGGGAAATGAAAAAAGATGTAACTAGTATGATCATTCAAGAGAAAGCTAGAGAAATTTTTGACAAACTGAAGAAACAAACTACATGAGGAGATAGGATTCAAGGCTATCACTGAATGGTTTGCAAAGTTTAGAAGGAGAATTGGCATTAAACATGTGGTAATTCACAGTGAGTCTGCTAGTGCAGGTAAAGAAGCTGAGAAGTTCTGTCTCAAATTTGCAGAATTCATTAAAAAAGAAGAATATTTTCTACAACAAATTTTCAGTTGTGATGAAACTGGTTTATTTTGGAAGCGCATGCTGAACCATACCTACATTACAAAAGAAGAGAAAAATATTCCTGGGCATAAACACATGAAAGACTGATTGGCATTACTTTTGGGAGCTAATGCTGATGATGATATGAAGTTTATCCCACTTCTTGTTTATTACTCTGAGAACCCTAGAGCATTCAAAAAAGATCCATAATTAAAGAAAGACTGCCAGTGATGTGGGAATTGAATAAAAGGGCATGGGTCAAGCAGGCTCTTTTCAAAGAATGGCTGTTTGAAGTTTGTGCTCCAAGCATCAAGGATTACCTTCAGACCAATGAATTGCCATTGAAAGCACTGTTGCTATTGGACATTGCACCAGGACATCCAAAAGACCTTAAAAATAATTTGCTGGAATACTTTCCCTGGCTGACAGTCCAGTTTCTGGCTCCGAACTTCGTTGATTCAGTCAATGGATCAAGTGGTTATTGCAGGTTTCAAGAAATTGTACATTTGAGCACTGTTTTGTCGGTGTTTTGAAGCATGTCAGTTCTCTTCAATGATGACATCAAATTTTTCTTTCCAAAACATTTTTAATATTCTTGAAGCTATATGGCTCATTCAAAATGTATGGTCAGATGTCACTCAACAACAGTTGAATCCTGCTTGGCAAAAGCTGTGTCTCTTTTGCATACAGGAAGACAGAAATGATATCCTTGAAATTATGGATGAATTGTGACAACTGCTAGAGATCTGGAATTGGAGGAGAATGAAGATAACATTGAAGAGCTCATAATGGAATTGGAAACTGATCTGATGACAGAAGAATTCCAAGAAACTCAGCAGATTTTTTTTTTTTTTTGAAAAGGACGAAGACAAAAGAGGATCAATGCCGACATCTGCTATTAAATATTTTTGAAGAAGTGCGAGGATGTCAGAATAGTGGTCTTAGAATGGCATTCAAACCAGATTGATGTTAATAAGCTTGGGGATCTCTACAACGACAATGTTATTAATTACTTCTGAAAAATCCTGAAGATGAAAGAAAAGCAATTGACATTAGACAGATTCTTTAACGTCCCACAAATGGAAAAAAAATGACCGATAAAAATGCAAGACTGTACATGTGTATTTTTGTTATTACATATACATAACCAAAAAGTATGTAACTTTTTATTTATAGTAAGAAAGTATGTAATTTTTTATTTATGTTTTGGGGTCTCCAGAACAAATTAATCAAATTCCCATAAAAATCTGTGGTAAATTGATAATTGGTTAACGAACAATTCGGGTAGCAAACAAAGTCTTGGAATGGATTATGTTCGTTAACCAATCACTGTATAAACAAGAGTATATGATAATGTAAATCAGAAAGATCCAAGTATTTTCAATTTGCAGGCCAAATTGTATGTTTGAGCTTAAATCACAGGATACAGAAATAAATTTTTCTGATTATATGGAAGATAATATCATCCCTTTCCCATAATAAGGTATACACATTTATTTTTATTTCATAATATGGTGTACAAAACTCTTATACTGGAAATTTTTATATTAAATTCATATAAACTTTGTTTAATCCTGATATAACTTACTGCTAAGATAAATATTACTCCACATCTTCAAAAATGCCGTTTGGTTTCACTGTCGTTATTGATAAATATATATATATATTTAAGTTAATTTCTCTCTTGAAATATCTGAGTGTGTTAACTTGGGAATTCCATTCACAAAAGACAAACTGTGGATTGTGCCTCAACAATTGAAAGGGATATCTTTAACCTTGCTCAAATTGTTGGAGTAATTCTTGAACCTTTGACTACATATTCCTTTGTTTTTTTTTTGTTTTTAGATGAAATGTCAGCACAAGTATCTCCTTTTTCATATTGTTCTTTGGCCTTGTACTAAATCCTGGAGACAGTTAAACAAATAACTTCAAGCTCAAGCTGCATTTCACTGATTGTACCATGGCTCAATTTGTTTCCAACCTTGTGCTGTAGAAAATACAGTAAAATTCCATTGTGCTGATTAGAGGCCAATTGCTTTGCTTTATTGTCTTTACTATTTGAAGCAAAATTCTCTGAGGCAATATTTTCTTGTATGTAACACTTGTCACAAGTGTTATTTTTATTAGCTTCTATTTTCATTACATTTGCTTCAATTTTTTTGAATGATATTGTTTCATGAAGTAATCAATTTCTGCTACTTGCAGCCTAAAAACTGCACACCAACATCAAACATAGAGGGTACTGTAGCCTTATGTATACCATTCAGAGGTATCCTACTTTTCTCTACTGTCTATTTCCTCTTCCTCCTTTTCCCCCTCTCCTTTCCCTTATCCTATTTTCTTCTGGCTAAACACTTTGTGTACGGATGATGTCTTTCTTGTATGTATGTACTTATGTAACCTGAGAGAATATTTTATTAACTCTTCGATACCAAAGCTAATGAAACCCATATAATGACTGAACTTCAGTAACTAAAGTGCCTCAGAATTTTTTTTGAAATTTATTTTTGTAAATGTTCATAAAATGTTTCAAACAGTTCAAAAAATGATATTGAAAACTTTTATTGATATTATTCCATTATAAAAACAATCAAGATTAATTATAAGTAAAGATAAACTGTAAAATGAAAAAAGATAATTAAAAACTTCATTCATATAGTAAAAGTATCAAAAAATAACTAATCTAAATATATGAAAATAGTAAACTATTGTTTTGTGTAATAAATTGAAGATATCTGCTATATCTTTATCATTACTCAATAGCATTCAACACACACAGTTATGGTAGCTCTTCTTTGGTGGACTTCATGTATGATGTTTTTGCAGGTATTACAGGTTACTTTACTCTTTTTCTTCTTTTTTTGGGACATTTGAACATCATCTACATTTTCTTAGTTTGACTGTATCATCTTGAAGATAGCCAGGAACTTCAATGCTGCAATATACTAGAATGCTTTTAATGACTATAAAACATAGACTATTGTAACTAGCACAAAACTCTATATTTTTTCTAGCTAAATCATTTGCAAGTCTCAAAAGAAATATTCATCAGTGGCAACTCACTCCTTTTTCCAATCTGGATGCTTTTCATTATTGCACATACACCTCACATATTCATAAAAAGTCTGTAAGGTCAGTGGACAGTTCTCTTAGCACAGGTAGTATTTATTTGTGTCATTGACTCT